GATTTTTGGCAAAAAAGGAAGGTTATACACTGCCTCTTTTTGAGGCCCGAGAAAAAAATTGTCTCAGATCGACCCGGAAAAAAAATTTCTTATAGAATGTGGCCTGTCGAATCCATAATTTCAAACAGTTCCAAGATTGGGCTACTAGTTCAAAAGTTACAGCCCTTTGAATTTTTTTTCGAAATTGGTTTCTAGTCTATAACTTTTGATTGAGAAGTCTGATCGAAAAAGTACGAATTGTTTTGGATTCTACGCACCAAAATTAATAAGCAAAACTGTTTTCCCGAGAAATTTTGGTGCAGTCGATTTTTGGTAAAAAAGGAAGGTTATACACTGCCTTTTTTTGAGCCCCAAAAAAAAATTGTCTCAGATCGACCCGGAAAAAAAATTTTCTTATAGAATGTGGCCTGTAGAATCCATAATTTCAAACAGTTCCAAGATTGGGCAACTAGTTCAAAAGTTACAGCCCTTTGAATTTTCTTTCGAAATTGGTTTCTAGTCTATAACTTTTGATTGAGAAGTCTGATCGAAAAAGTACGAATTGTTTTGGATTCTACGCACCAAAATTAATAAGAAAAAGTGTTTTCCCGAGAAATTTTGGTGCAGTCGATTTTTGGTAAAAAAGGAAGGTTATACACTGCCTTTTTTTGAGCCCCGAAAAAAAAAATTGTCTCAGATCGACCCGGAAAAAAAATTTTCTTATAGAATGTGGCCTGTAGAATCCATAATTTCAAACAGTTCCAAGATTGGGCTACTAGTTCAAAAGTTACAGCCCTTTGAATTTTCTTTCGAAATTGGTTTCTAGTCTATAACTTTTGATTAAGAAGTCTGATCGAAAAAGTACGAATTGTTTTGGATTCTACGCACCAAAATTAATAAGAAAAAGTGTTTTCCCGAGAAATTTTGGTGCAGTCGATTTTTGGCAGGGTGTGTATTGTGTATATTAGTTGCAATAATCTAAGTTACTTATTAATACAAAGCGGAGATGTTAATTCAACTACTCCCGTATTACAAAAGCATGCATATGAGATGGTTGCCGTTACATACAGTTTTTTTTGTATGAGTTAAAACAATATATAGTAAAACTAGCTATACACTTGCAACAAATATGTATATGATAAATTTTATAATTCTTCATAGCTATCCCTATACGTATTATAGTTTTTGATAGCTATTATTATATTTTGAATTACCTTTAACATACATTTTTCTCCGTGATTTAATCGAATTCACTTGCATTATTATTGTTACGATATGATCATAATGTAGGTACTTTTTATAGGCGTATACAATGATGACGTCTTTCCAATAATGAAACTTTCTTCTACGGGCACACAGCGACGACGGGTTGTTTTAAGAAAAACTGCACAAATTCTAGCATCGGGAAAGCATTGGAAAACGCCAATGTGACCTTTAAATTGACAATCGTATAATACAAGCACCCTCTAAGCTATGCTTTCTCTTGTAGAAATTCCAACAAAAGGCTTTGTTCGAAATTGAGATGTCTTATGTTGAGTTTTTGCATCCACATTTAGAAAGTTTACCTACGAATATAACGTAAATGGCATTGAATTTGTTGCTTTGAGCAGAATTTACGGAAAAATGATCTACTTATCTATAATGGTATGTAGGTACGTTACACACATTGAATTGTGGATGTGTTTTGAAGAAAGCAGGGGATTTTCTGATTAAGTACAGGGTGGCCAAATAACAATGCGAGATGCAGTTTTCGCGAGCTTGTTTAGGCATTATTTAGCTACTTTTTCATAAAAAGAAAATCGAACCAATCCATTTAATTTTTTTGAGAAAATTAACTATTTCTGTCGGAATGGCGAAAAAAGCCCTCAAGCGGTGATATGTGAAAGTGAGTGAAACTAAAAAAACTTCAAATATTATAATATTTGTGACTGAAGAATAGCTCTTTTGAACTAACCCGAGTTTGTTTAAATCGGCTTAGCCGTTTGGAAGATACAGGGTGTTTTTTACGGAAATCTTTGAATACCCCCCACCACTTCATTTTGAGAGATACGGCAAAAATTGCCAAACAAAAAAGGTTCAGATTATCGTCGACTTCAAAGACCGGACATTTTTTGTTAGGTTAATATAGCGGAATTCACAGAAACATCACTTTTTTAGATTCCAGATTGCAGCTACGCCCCCTAGCGGCAATTTCAGAAACTTAAAAATATTTTCCAGGTTTTTCTCGTGGCCGTTTTAGTAATAACTATTTTTACCGCAAGCCTCTAAGGTTCTCAGATACAGTACCTCGTATTCTTAGTTGGCCACCCTGTACATATTGGGATTGGGCCCGCTACAATTGCGAACAGACATAAACTATGTTTTTGCCACGTGACGAAAAAGCAAACAGCAAAGGAGTGCACAGAACGCTGTAATTGGCCATATCTTTATTTGATATAAGAGATATCAAAAATATCTGAAACCCTTTCGGTTACCACTCCCTACCTCAATACTTTAAAGTGGCTTGTCGCATTTACTCCTTTTTTGGAAAGAAAATATCAATACTGGATTTGATTTCATTATTATAAAATGTAATTGTGAAATAAGGAAATGATCTTGTAGGAAGAATTACATAGTTAGCCGTGTGATGTATCACAAACGTTAAACTTAATGTGCACGTTATCTGCCAAAAACGATATTTTGCGTTATCTAAAATGGGCAAATAACGGTTTCGACAATATAACCTGCACGTTAAGTTTTACGTTGGTGATGCATGACAGGAGTGGATATGTTATTACGTATATAATTTGGTTTTGACGAATTAAATGACGAAAAACGAGTTTTTTTGTTTTATTTAATACCTTTTCTTCGTTTTATATGTTGAATCCATATCTACCCTTTCCGATCCAGACAAGATGCCTCCCCCCAAAAGTCCCCCACAGCGAAATCAATGCTAAAAAAAAACAAAAACGATGCACACTTAACAGAAAGTACAAAGGAGTCGATCAAAGAAGCCTACGGGCAAACTGAAGATCCCTTTGTGCTACCTGTTGATAGTTTGGTTGTTTTTGTGGAAAATGCCTTATTATGAAAATGAAAGATTTACGAAACATGTTCAATCTTTAGTTAATGATTTAGGTTTGATAAATCCATTTCTAAAGGAAAGGTCTTAGATTCACACTGCAACATTAATATTTAAGCAATGGTAGTAACACACACTCTAACATATAATCAGGAACTTTTTCAGCAATTGATCACAGTTTTGGTCATCCAAAGATCTTATCCACTCCTGGAATACTATAGATTGCCTTTTTGATAGCAATTATTTTCCCATCCTCATTGCAGATAATAAACTAAAAAGAGCTAATGCTATCGCTAAATGGAAAACTGCCAGTGCTAATTAGCCATTATTTAGCTTATGTGTCAAAGAAAAAACAGACCAATTAATCTTCACAAATACTATTGATGCAGCAGCAACTACATAATTTTCTCAGCTGAGGAATGTTTAGGAAAACTCACCATTAACGATTAACCCCTTTAGAAAAACTGTTCCCTGGTTGAACGATGCCTGCATATTAGCAGTAAAAGAGTCCAAGAGGGCGCTAAACAAATATCGTAGAACTCAAACGCGACCGGACCTAATCAAGTTTAGGAGACTAAAAAGGGAAAACTAAGCGAATACTCAAAGCAAGTAAAAAGGCGTCCTGTCAGTTCAATAACCTCAGAGACTCCAGTCAAGTTCAATTTTGGTCGAAAATAAAGAAAATGAAAGAGTACTCTATTTCCCATAAATTCCCAGCACTCAACCATGAAGGAAAAATTATTACAGATAAGACCAATATCCTCGCTCAGCACTTCTAGCACAAAACCAAAAACATGCTGAGTAAACATTTAAATTTAGATCCAAATCCGCCCCTCCAATTTCGTAAAATAAGCCTCTAAAGCGAGGTGTTTTACTTCGATAGTAATAAATTAAGATCTTAGTTGTTAGTGCGAAGCGTATTTCATTTTTTTCACGTATAAAAATTCTGTTGTTACTAACATGGGGGTTTTAATTTTAGTCATTCATTGCACACAAACTTTGGACTAAATTGAATTCGCAAAACTGGGAATCGGGTCAATTTGTGATCATTATTATTATTGCAAATCAAAATTAGTGTAAGTATTGAATATTTGTGGGCACAACTTTTGACTTCACAGGAGGGAGCGTCAACTAAGTATATTTAAAAGTGATTAATATACCAATCAGCTTGGTGATTGTTTCAAATTCTAACCAATCAGATGATTGTGATCATGTGATTAAAAGTGAAAATGATGAATGAGTGATTAAAAGCTAGGTAGCTTTTCACCGGCGATAAAAATGCCTGTAGGAATGCGTAAAATATATAGTGGTTTTAAAATTTACTGTCTGTTATTAATATCCCTAAAATACACTCGAAATTGGTTTTAAATCAGGATAATTTTATTTTTAATACACTCAAATTTTGTTACCTCCTGGAAACTCTCGATCAACAGCTAAAGCTGTCGCGATTTTATCACACTTTTGGTCTCTACTTTTTTTGCGTTGCAACAAAACTCTCGTGTAAAATAGTATATTGAAAGACAAGTGTTACAATGCGACCTATTGTAATACGACTATCTTGTGGCACGAGTGGCGACGCGAAGCGTAGCCACGAGTGTCCGCAAGATAGGAGTATTACAATAAAGCATTGTAACACGCGTTTTTCATACTATTTTTTCTATTTCGGTGCTTTAATTTAATTAAAAAAATCATTATCAGAAACTATAGGGAACATTAGAACTAACATGTTTTATGTTGGGAACACTTTTTATGCCGTTAAGTTTTAGGTTGGCAGCGTAGTAAGACTGACATTTTGAAGTTCAAACATGGAAGTACCCAACGAAGTACCTACTTGTACTAACTAGTAACTGCCAACTTAAGAGATGAGTTACCAAAGAAAACGACTATAATCACTGTCTTTGTACAACTGTTTTAGGCCGAAAACAGTTGTACAAAATCATCATTGTGACACCGAAATAGAAAAATAAAATTATCCAATTAAAAATCAGGCTCTTGTGTATTTACCCCCGACAAATTATGCATTTCAAAGAAGCAAAAGCAAAGCGTTCAAGCAAAACAAAAAAAGGTCCTGGTTTTACTACGAATAACACGAATTGTGCAAAAAATACTCAATATGAAGGACAGATTGAACTTTTTCTTTTTCGAAATTCGGAATTCCACCCATCGGGTGGCCAGGTATACAACAGTAACGTGGGCATCCAAGATTGCGAAATACTTTCTTAGTAGTTACGGAATATTAGACATTTTTGGTGCCCCAGCCCAGAGCGGTATCTGACAAGGAAAGTCCGATTTTCAAGAAATTGAAATTCGTTTCCGTTCAGGTTTCCGTGAGCACGACAATTATGTTCCTTGCCCGCGCTTAATTTCTTTCAATACTTTTCAATAAAGTGCGGTAAAATTGTTTAGATAGAACATGTACTTACCAAAGCTAATGAGAGCAGCAAGTAGAGAAGACTTTCAAGAATTTTCGTCATTTCGCGAAATCTGTAAAGAAAGTGAGAGTATAATTTAAGCTTCAAATGGTCTTTTTTGGGTATAGAATCATTTATTTATTTTATGAAAATATATATTTATTAACTTTATCACATATTCGGCGCTTTCACAATATATTCTTTAGATTTCCTTTTTTTATGTCAAAAAAATCAAATTAACGGCGAATTACTATAGATACGCAAGTTTTCAAAATGTCAACAGTATGGAGAATTGTTTGCTTTTGCAATTTATGAAAAACGAAGTACCACATTTACAAACGCCCCTTATTGTACAATATACGGTCGCTGCACTTTTCAGTTTTACGTACGAAAGTATAAACAATTCCAATGAAATGTAAGAGGGTAATTTTAACTCTAATTTATTCACATATGAGTATATGCCCCCAAGACATCAAAAGACTGGCCAGCAAATTAGGGTCGAACATAATTTCCCTGGAAAATATGGTTCGTGGGCCGCGTGTCACGAAACTCTATCAAATTTGTAAGTTGTACATTTGTCAACGTAATCATTCAAATGGGAAACTTTGCTAAGGACATTCGTCAATTCATTTAGTAGTCATGAATGACGTTATACTTGATGCTAATCATGCACTACTAATTTCTGTTATCACCCCCATCTTATGAATTGAGGTTGCTTTATGAACCTTAAACAAAACCATAAATCAAGTAATTATATTACGGTCCTTCATAAAATATTCGAAGTGCAAATGGCGCTGGTACGAAATGGCTTACTTTATACGCTTCATTTGGGGGTAAGTGTTAGTTTACCGTCCACTATAACAGTTTATGGCCCACTTTGTGTTTTAATCAATGGTCGGGTATTGTTGTTTGACAGCAACAACAAGTGTTTATGAACCAGCGCTATTAGCTTCCAGGGGGCTGAAATTAATAAATTACCGCAAACGATTGATTTGCGCTCTGTGCGGGCAAATTGCTCGCTATCGAAGCGAATCACGTAACTTGAGACGCTAAAAATTACGGCTCAATTAAAATTTCCCAAAACTTTTGGTTTAGAAGGAATTAATTTGATTTCAAAACAATTATTTTCGAGCTTCAGAAGTTGTGCAAATTTAAATTATTATTTAAAAAAATTAAAACTTTGTAGTGTTTCCTCAAATATGACGGAGAACACGCAATTTTAATTTGCAAATTAAGTAACCGCATTTAACTCGATATATAAAATTATAATTAGAGGGAGTATTCCAGTTACAAAAATTCCTGTTTCATCGTTCATGTAGGGACAGCAATCACCTCATGTTTTCGTGAAAGTTTCGATTAGACAATTAAATTAGCTAATGGAATTTTTATTGGCGCGCCTAAAATTCGCAGATGTAATTTTGCGTGACTACCAAATATTAGGCTGTAATGGAGACATTCCGCTGTCTTCAATCTAATTTGGATTAGGCACTTTTAGTGTGTTTCACCATTATATGCCTCTCCACATTCGATAAAGTAAACACTGATACCTACTACGCTTAATTCCTTTATTTTCTTTGGCTCTGATAACCCAGTAAGGGAGAAAAGTAGTCGGTGATTTTCGATACGTCGCTTCTTCTGTTTTCGAACATAAAGTTAAATTCAATTTCCCCGTTCCTCCGTCTTTGCAAAGAATAGAAATAATTGAGCACCTTTACTTTTCAACCGTTTACTTTTAGAGCCGATTACAAAGTCATGGAGTGCATTATCATTTAAAACACTGGCATCAAAGGACATGCTTACATTTTGTATGTTTTATCATCGTCCATTTACTTTCCTTTTGGGAAAATGTCTCCGCCCATAAAAGAAAAATAAATAGTGGTTTCCTTGAACATCGCCACAAAAATCTCCAACAATTGGAGCAGGAAACAACTACACAGTATTGATGTAAGCTAGCAATCTTTGATAAAAACGTTTTATTTTATTTTCCTTTTAGTAGCGTAATCGCCCTGGTTCCAATTTGGTGAACGCTAGTTAGACCCTAGAATCCAGATAACATTGAATATTTCTGTAATATACCAGTATTGTATGTATTCAATATACCTAGAATATATATGTGCATTGTAAGATATACTAGGGATATGCGAATGGTAATATCTCAGATATTCTGAGAATAAACTTAATGTATTCTAAATATCCTTAGAACATGATGCATATGTACCACTTAGGATATTATGAGAATCAACTTACAGAATATTCTTAGTTTATTCGGAATATTCTTTGTAAACGATTTATATATACTATTTAGAATATTCTGAACATAAACTTGAAAGAACGGTATCTGTTTCTTTTCAATACTCTTAGAATGTGATCTACTCATCACGACCCGTCATACGCTCTTATAAGGACGATACATCACATATTCCCATTTATTTATCCTGGAGGTGATGTACACTGCATATAAGTCACTTATTTACATTAAAAGTGCATAATTTACTACCTATAATAAAATCAATTTTTAATTGAAAATAAGTGCCTAACGAACTATTTACCTAAAAGAGACATTTTGTGTATTGTAATTAAGGTTTGAAATTGACACGTGATTTTGTCAAAACGAAAAATGGCGTTTGGTATATCAGATTATTCAATACCGAATAAAGGAATATATTAATAGTGTGTTTTCAGTATATTCAATACTGAATATCCTGGGAATATGCCAATCAAACGTATATATTCATAGAACATGGATATTTGGAATATTCATTTACCTCTAGCTATTATATTCTAAGAATATCCAGTGCTATCTGGGGTACTAACATTGCACAGTTGCTGAATCAGGGAAGAAGTACCAAATATACGAACTTTTCAACAAAACTACCGTTAATATCGCCCGTTTGTCAATCAGTCATCCACCTTAATGATTCAGATCGCAGCCTTGCGACCACATACAAAGCTGCAGTATTGTTACTTAAAACTTTTAGTAACGCTCAGCAAACCCAATTAATTTAATACTATTAACGTAAATGGGCAAGATCAATGATATTTAACTAACTTAGGTTGTGGATAATGTAATAAAAATTGCGCAAGACCAAAGGTACTAATTCATCCCTGCCCTGATTCTCGAAACAGGGTCACTTCCTTTGTCGTGATATTTTTTCCTCAGTTACCAAAATCCGATTTTGAACATATCAAGTAACTGTTGACCTCCCCCCTTCTAACGTGTATAAGAACCTCACCCCACCCATCAGTGAAAATGGTGCGGTTAGTACCGTTCGTTGTAACGATACATAGCTCCAAATTTGGTTATATTTTTTCGAATTTTATAGGGATAGGTAAAGTTCGGGTTTTTTCCTCCATTTTTTCAAGGTTCGAACAATTTAGGCTGATTCAAGTTTGAAGGCCAGGGGATCTCGGAAACCGTAGTTTAAATTTGGCAAAGTTGCGTATTTTGACGCTTAACAAAACGCCGTTTTGAAACAAAAAATTCCGACTACTTTTGTAGATATCTGGCAAAAACGAAAGTTTGCAAAATCCTTTTTATTTTTTACTGAACTTTAAAAAGATATTCCAAAATAAATGATATTATTATGGCCACTTTTTTCTCATTTCAAAAATGTAAGTGTCACTATTTTTAAATAAGAAATTGCGTTATTAATTCGTAAAAACGCAGAAAACTACGAATATACACTACCTAAGACAAGGTTTACCACGCAAAAAGAAGATAAGAAGATAAGAAGAAGAAAAAATTAATTATAAAGATTCTGTTTTCACGAGTTTTTAGTCTAAGTAGCCTTTAGACTATGTTTTTCTTTTATCATAGTCCATGGCTACTTAGACTAAAAACTCGTGAAAACAGAATCTTTATAATTAATTTTTTCGCGTACAAGAAGAGGTAGAATAATCGTTTCACACGATTTAGATGCAGAATTTATATCTCTATAACTTTTATTTGAAGTATTTTTGTGTAAAATAATTAGGAAACGTTTGCGCAAAGAAATAGTTATTTACATATGAGTATGGTAAATCAAGGTTTACGTTAACGAGTGAGATGTTTACTGCCGAAGCGTAGCTGAGGCAGGAATTTCGAAACGAGTAACGTAAACTGATTTGACATACAAATAATGTAAAACATTTTATTTCATACTGCTCTATTTCTATTAAAATACCATTTTGATTAGAATGTTGTAGGTACACATCAAAATAAAAGCAACAGTCGATCACTTGATTTGTTTGATCTGACATTAGTTTGACAAATATCAATGCATACGTTTAGATGGATGTCAGTTGCGGTTGCTAGACAAAATTTCCAGTCTGGTAAAAATTTTCAGTCTGGTAAAATACGATTTACCAGACTCAAATCAGTCTGGGAAAGCGGCGATTACTAGATAGTATGAAATAAAAGTAATTTCCCATGTTAAACGCCTATGTTCCACTTTTCGATTTACACCCTGTACAATTTAATTAAATTTACTATCTAGTTATCTAATTATCGAGAGGTTAAGTAGTATGCCACAGAAGTGGTTTGCGTGATTTTAAGACATACCTTCACACTACGTTTATCTGAAGAGCATGCGTGTAACAAGAGTTAAATTTCGGGGCAGATCTCTAAAAATGATCAAAGTCCTCGTGTGAGATCGAAGGGACTTCAGCGCATTTTTGTGTGGCAGATCAGTGTTTTATTAGCCAATATTGACTCCACCATCAATAAGATCTTGCCGAAAGCTACCACGTTCACTTTGTCGGTACCATTTTCTCACTTACCGTGCACTCGCAATTCGCGTTTGAAGTTTTGACTCCACCATCAGTAAAATCCTTTGGGGGTTACCATATTCCCTTTGTCGACACCCACTTCTGATCACCCGCAACAATTCGGATTTGAAGTTTCGACTCCACCATCAGTAAGATCTCGTCGGGGGTTACCACATTCCCTTTGTCGATACACAGTTCCGACGTCCCGTTCATTCGTAATTTACATTTTGGTAGATTTCGCTAAAATCCCGGCATAAAATCGTATTCAACTTTTGGGTACTTCACATAGCTCGACCTTCTATTAGTGACACGAGAAAGAGAGACCGC